TGCTCTCAGTCAAGCACCTTAATGAAGGTGCATCTTTATTGGGTGAGACAAAGTAGCAAAATATAATATAATTTGACCAGCCTGAAGTGAACAGTGTGACTCCAACAGACGGCCCATCCTCTCTGAAGGGAACTGAGATCGGAGAATGCTCCTGTCGGCTTCAAATCACATGGTGTCAGCGTACCAGTGTCCCGGGTGGTGTCACCATGGCAAGCGAAGGCAGTGTCCGGCGTTGGCTTCAGCTGGGAGCGGGTGTAGGGTTACCAAGATGACATGTTTTGTGCAGTTGCGCTTTGTCAAGGCTGGCTGAGCATAATTAGTAGGGGATGGGGTATCAATCAGAGCGGACGGATCATCCTGAAGCAATGTTGAATACAAATTTAAAAGTACAGTTTGCAAATTATAGAAAGTGGTGCCAATTAATGGAGTGATATGTATAAGAACACTATTGGAAAACATGATATACTTTAGCAGAATTAATGTAATAATAAAACAATAAAATAATAAAGGAAAGCTTTCTTGTGGGAGAACTCTAAGTTAAAAATGACATCGCTGGTACATGGAAGCTATGTCAAAAAATGCATTTATAGTGAGGTAATTTTGGGTATATGGACAAAGAAGGGAGGGGGGAGGGGAAAGCTTGGCATATGAAGATAAAAATGACTGTATAAAAGGTACTGCTAAAAGAAATATAGTAAAATCAATCTGGGTATCAAATTAGGTAGCTCATATGTTCGTAATCAAGTAAACGCAATAGATGCGTAGTAACATGTATTCATAATTGAGTGAACACAATATATACGTGGTAACAGTGAAAGTTAAAAAACAAGTGTTAAAAGAAGACAACAATGTATATAAAAGAAATATCAGTACATAACCATAAATGGCTAACGAAAAAAAAAACAAAAAAACTGGAGGATCCTAGTTCCAGGGACTATAAGTCATACTTGTTATATAATGCTATGGATTTCAAGATCCTCATTGAGACCATTGGGGGTAATAGAACCTAACTTGTAGATCCAGAATGTCTCTCTCTTACATAAACAGGCTAGTCTTTCATTGTCAGTAAATGTACCCTTTGGAATATGTTCGATTGCTAAGACCTCAAGAAGAATGAAATTCTTTTGATGGGATTGCAAAAAGTGCCTGGGGACACTATGTTTATCGCAACCATCTCTTATAAGTCTTCTATGCTCCCCTATGCGTTTGCGTAGAGGGCGTGTGGTTTGGCCTACATATAGAAGCTTACACGGGCATGTGAGGACGTATATGACATGGTCAGTTGCACACGTAATAAACTGATGGATGTGGTAGCTGTTGCCCTGGGAGTCCAAAACCTGTAATCTGCCATGGGTGATGGACTGACAGGTGAGACAACCTCTTTTGTTGCGTCAACCTGTTCTGTTGTCAAATGTAGGAAGGGGGCCATTATCTTTTTGGGTGGACGGTGACATTTTGCTTTAGCATTAGCATGTTGTGGCCTACTTGGAGTGTGCTGTTGTATACAGTGTATTCCCAATTTGGTGACAATGGCACGTTCAGTAAAACAAGACTGAAAGGTATAAAGGGTGAATACAGTAGTTGTCACTTTGTGACAAAAGGGAGGTTGTGAAAGGGTTAATAGTGAACTAACCTTTGCTTTGTGCCTACTAACTGGTTAATTTTATATACAAGATGTTCCCTTGGAATTGGAATGCTGTTATCTATGCACACATTTCTTTCTGAGAACTTGCAGAAGTTACTACTCTGTTGCATTTTGTTTTGACTAGCCATTGAGTAATTTACTGAAATCTTTTTTCTGTATTCTGATTGGTGCTTTATGGAAACCACCTGAAATATGCAATGTTATCATTACTTAAGGCTTGATCAATAATAAAGAAGTTGAATTTTGCATCTCACATCTAGGTATTTGTGTAGCATTGTTCCCAAAGTACTTTGAACTGTATATTTGTGAGGAGGAGAGGGCCGCCCTGAATTGATATTCCTAACAGAACAGTATACAGTATAATTGTGACAGTACCTGCAAATTTAGGAATACAGATTCCTTACCAAATAATTTTATTGGTTCCACATCTGTGTGGATATTAAGATATATATTTGAACTTACACTATTCCTGACGCAGTCACAAGGAATCTTTAGGGGTTTTAGGTTAGTTTTTATTTATTTGTTTTCTATGTTTATACATGTTTGACCTTGTAGTTGATATCCACTTAAAGTGTTACTAAACTCACAATAGTAAAAATCAGTCTGTGTATGCAGTAAAGCATGCTTAACCTAAAGGGTTAATCCTGTGCATTGTGCAAAAAGGCTGTTTGATCCTGTCTTCTCTGATCCTCCCCTTCTTCCAGTGTCCCCCTCTTATCTCCTGATAAGACATATCATGTGGAGTCCCTCTGCACATGCTCGGTTTGGTGTGTATGAGGGTTTTTTTTTCTTGGGAGAGTGCATGTGATTAGCACAGGGCCAAACAGCGCAGTCCAGACAGAGGTCAGGGGTTTTGCATCCTCCTAGAGGAAAATTAATACTCCACCTTCATGCTTTAACCAGTGCTCTGCTGGACACTGATACACTGCTGATGAGAAAAGGTATTTAGCAGTTTATATTTACTAAAATAATTGCATTTCCATGTTCTGTGTACTGTGGAAGACCAAATATAGTAAATACAGGCTCCTGGGTTTAGTAACACTTTAAGGACTTGTTTTTTTCTGCCACTTGCTGTTCACATGTAACAATCAGATTTTTTTTTTTTGTGCTAGAACAGTGGTTCTTAACCTGGGTTCGATCGAACCCCAGGGGTTCGGTGAGTCAGTCTCGCGGGTTCGGCGGAGGTGAAGACCCACACCCGACTCATATGATTCGTGCAGTAAATATTCATTATTATGTTTTTGTTTTTTTGTGAAAATTGTTTTAATGGTTTTGTTCTTTATTCTTAACGGTTTTGTTCATTTTGTGCACCTATGTATAAATATATACCTAAATATATACCTATTTTGAATTTTAAAAATCATATTTTATTTTTCCAATTAAGAAGGGTTCGGTGAATGCGCATATGAAACTGGTGGGGTTCAGTACCTCCAACAAGGTTAAGAACCACTGTGCTAGAACATTACGTAGAACCCCCAAACATTATATATTTTAAAGCAGAGGCCCTAGAGAATAAATTGGTGAGTTTTGCAATTTTTATGGCACACGGCATTTGTGTTGTTGTTTCTCAATCGCAATTGTTTTGGGAAAGTACACTTTTTTGAATTTTAATACAAAAAAAACACAATACATAACCCAATTCAGATGCTATTACACTCAGTAAGTAGATGCCAAACATGGAACGCTTTAAAATTGAGCACGCCCATGCAACACTGACAAACAACATACATTTTACTATCCATAGGCGAAGCTTTACAGGCTACCACTTTAGATTCACAGACAAAGTCTGGTGCTAGAATTACTGCCCATGATCTGACATTCGCGGTGATACCTCAGATGTGTGAGACAATCGTTTTTTGCATGTGTGCGGGACCAACGCATATGTTAGTCTTTGCCTGCAAGCACAAGGGATAGGGGCAGTGACTTTAGAAACATTTTTTTTATTACTACTTTTAGTGCTGCCCCAAAGAATGTAAACATTGTGACAGCAATAGGCCTACGACAGGTACTCTTTATAGAGGGATTTGGGACGAGATCGGTGTGATTGAATGCTTTTATATTTTTTAAATTGTTTCCGAGGAAACCGGAAGTGATGTCAGATCATTGCTTCTGGTTTACTGTTTAATGGAGCTGAACAAAGCCAATCCAGTCTTTGTTCTGCTCCGTGACTAGCCAGCAGCAGCACTGGCTGGTTGATCAGGACTCCCAGGGGGACAGGTGATCCTGCTAAAGCAGTGGAAGATGCCGGGAGGGGGGGAATCCCCTCCCACTGCTTGTAATAGTGATCAAGTGACTTGATAGTCGGTTGCAAAAAAGGGTACCAGGATGATGCCTACAGCTGCAGACATCATCCTGTATAACCATTTGAAGACTGGTGACGTACAGGGCCGGTGCTTCCACTAGGCAAACTAGGCAGCCGCCTAGGGTGCACTGCCACCTAGGGACTCCTGGACACAGCACAAGCCAGCACTCTCTCTGTGTGGGAAGCTGAGGGAAGGGGCAGCAGAGGGGAGGAAAAAAGGACAGAGGAAGATGCCGGGTGTCTGGGGCCAGTGTAGCAGCTAAGCTGCTGCTCCTTCCAGTGTTCCTCTCAGACTCAGTCCCTTACTGCAAGGTGACTGGCGGCTGCTGATCACTGTAGAGTTCCAGCCCTTCTCTTCCCAATCATCAGCGGAGGCGGAGCTGCACCCGTGGAGGAAGATAATGTATAACTCTGATATTTCATGTCTGTGTGAGTGTGACCTGGCCAGCAGGCTGGCCATCCATGACATGTGCAATGTGTCAGTGCATGATGACATCATGATGATCCCACAGCCTGCTCTTCTGGTGCCTGCTGATCTGTGTCAGTGTTGGTGGTGGTGTGTTGTGTTGAATCTGACACTTTGTGGGATCGATATTTCAGATGTTCTCTCTGTGTTTGTGGGATGGGCTACCTGTTGTCACAGCATTTTATCTTCCCCCCATTGCCTGGGAAATTCCAGCCTGGGATCCATCATCCTCCACTCACTGCAACTGCAACTGCCAGCCACAGATACAGTTCATCTGTGTCATGGATTTTGTCTTTAATACTGGAGCTGGTTGCATCTAATTGCACTTATTTTTGTCCATTAGCTAGTTGCCGACCGCAGATAGCCGAATGACGGCTGCACTGAGGACCGGCCAGTTCTGAGTGGACGTTATATGACGTCCTCCCAGAACGCGCTCTCCTGCGCGCCCCAGGGGGCGCGCACCCGGCGATCTCCGTGATCGCTGTGTCCTACGGACACAGCTGATCACGTGATGTGGTAAAAGGCCAATCACAGCGGCCTTTTACCACGTGATCAGCGGTGTCCAATGACACGCTGATCACAGGGAAATGCAAGTGCCGGTTCTCGGCTGCACTTTCCTCACGCTGTCAGATCGTGAGGAAAGTACTGCCGAGAACCGGCAGTTGTCAGAGCGGGGATCGGCACCAATCATCAGGGCACTGATGATCAGTGCCCTGATGATCGGTGCCCAGCAGTGCCACCCGCAAGTTCCGCCCACCTGTGCCCAGCAGTGTGCCCACTAGCTCCGCCCACCTGTGCCCAGCAGATCACCCACCTGTGCCCAGCAGTGCACCCACCTGTGCCCAGCAGTGCACCCACCTGTGCCACTCTGCAGTGTCACACACCTCTGCCCAGAAGTGCCACCTACCTGTGCCCAGCAGTGCCACCCACCTGTGCCCACCCACCTGTGCCCACCAGTGCACCCACCAGTGTGCGCACCCACCAGTGCTGCCCACCAGTGCTGCCAGTCAGTGCCACCAGCCAGTGCCCAGCAGTGCTGCCAGTCAGTGCCGCCAGTCAGTGCCCAGCAGTGATGCCAGTCAGTGCCGTCTATCAGTACCCATCATCAGTGTCACCTATCAGTGCCGCCTATCAGTGCTGCATATTAGTGCCGCCTATCCGTGACACCTCATTAGAGCTGTCTATCAGTGCCGCCTATCCGTGCCACCTCATTAGTACTGCCTATCAGTGCCCTTTAGTGCTGCCTATCAGTGCCCATCAGTGCCGCCTATCAGTGCCCATCAGTGCTGCCTCATCAACGCACATCAGTGAAGGAGAAAAAATACCTGTTTGAAAAATTTTATAATAGAAACAAAGAAACTTTTTTTTTTTTTTTCAAATTTTTTGCACTTTTTTTATTTATAGCGCAAAAAGTAAAGCGCCCAGTGCGATTAAATACCACCAAAAGAAAGCTCTATTTGTGAGAAAAAAATGATCAAAATTTCATATGGGTACAATGTTGCATGACCGCGCAATTGTCAATCAAAATGCGGCAGTGCTGAAAGCTGAAAATTGGCCTGGAAAATAAGGGGGTATAAGTGCTGGTAGGCAAGTGGTTAAAAGAAATTAAGCAGTTTCATGTTTTAGTGATTTAATATTTTTTACTGTTTTTTTTTTATTTTTTTTTGGGGGGAGGGAGGGTGGCACAAGTAGCTGGTCTTGCCTAGGGCACAAAATAGTGTAGCACTGGCTCTGATGACGTAACAGGTATGTGACTGGTCGGCAAATGAATGTAGTATATAGTTGTGAGAGTTCCTGCCTAATTTAGGAATACAGATTCCTTACCAAAAATATTTTGAACCCCTAGTCCCATAAAATTATGGATATTAATATACAGTTAAATTTACATTGTTACGGACACAGGGAGTCCATAGGGGTTTTATTCATAGTCCAATTTTATTTATTTTCCATGTTTATACATGTTACCTTGTAGTTGATGTCGATAGTATGTGGTTGTGAGAGTTTGCCTAATTTAGCAATACTACATTGTAGCTCGTAAGAGTAGGGCCCTGTACCCCTCGATAGTTGTACTGTGGTATTGTCCCCCCCTATTGTACAGAGCAAACCCTTTGGCGCTAACTCGTAGTAATTATAATAATACAGATTCCTTACAAAATATTTGTCTTGCTTCCACATTTCTATGGTAGTTTTACATGGTAAACTTACTCTGGTATTGACACATAACAGTAGTCACATGGAATCCATAGAGATTTTAGACTAGTTTCTAGTGAGAAAGCACAGACTCTCGCTGAATAAAAAAAAATAGAATAAAACATAGATTGTAGCCACCCAGATGGTCAGTGTCAGGATTACTCGTGAGCAGGTGTGTTTTTCCTTCAATAAAAATAAAAAAATAGCTTTTTAAAAACAGGTGTGTAAAAATTGACTAGGGTAAGGACAGATTGTGAGCAGTTGGAAGATGCTTAATGGTAATGACACAAGCAGGGGCGGACTGACCATTTGGAAACTTGGGCACTACCCGAGGGCCTGGGGTCAGTAGAGGGCCCCATAAGATGCCCCTGGTACCTTTTTCATAGGCTTTTTTGAGTTTGAGCAAGGACACAGGGGCCCAGGGGCGGACTGACCATTTGGAAACTCGGGTACTGCCCGAGTGCCCGGGGTCAGTAGGGGGCCCCATGAGATGCCCCTGGTACCTTTTTCATAGGCTTTTTTGAGTTTGGGCAAGGACACAGGGGCTCCATGATCCCCTATTGCCTGGGGGCCCCATGAGTTGTCAGTCCACCCCTGGACACAAGGCAGGTGTTTTCCACTAATAACAATTAGAGCATAACCTCTCAGGTCCAGTTGTGAAACATTTACAAGCAAGGTCACAAGGAAGATGGTTGGGTTGTCTGCAACAAAAATCTGAGCGTAGACTTTCATATATAGTTGTGTAAAACTTTCTGCACTGGCAAAACAGTTCGTCTTCACTAAGAACAAAGCCAAATAGCAATACAGAAGGCACAGAGAGATGTCTTCAGAAAATATCAGCAGTCCTTTTTGGGTTTTAGGGAGAAGAAAGAAGAGAAGTGCAAATAGGTTGCAATGCAGGCAGTAGCGGTAACAGAGAAAACAAGATGAAAAAGTGTTTGGTCTTTGAGGGTCCATTTACACTGTAGTGTTGCAGCAATAAACATGTTGTTGTGATGATGTTAGTCAGGTCATTTACTCCACCTCATGTTTTTTTAATAAGGATAGTGAGATCTTTCACTGCCCAAAAGGTTATATAAGACAATTTTTGATGTATTGTAACAATGTCTATTACTGGAGCCCCAAATAACAATGGAGTATAACAGCACCTCTCCTGTATAATGTTGAACAGTGGTGTAATGGTCAAAGTGTTTAAAACTGCATTGCCTACCTGCAACTAAAAATATTCTTCATTTTAAAGTGTTACTGAACCCATAACTGTAAAATCAGTCTGTATGTGCAGTAAAGCATACAGGTTATACTCACATTGGAATGTAAGGGATTAATCCTTTGCATTTTGTAAAAAGGCTGTTTGATCCTGTCTTCTATGATCCTCCACTTCTTCTACTGTGCCCAGTCCATCTCCTGATAATACAGAGCTCTAGGAGACACTCTGAACATGATCAGTTTAAGCTGTATAGCTAGAGAGTTTTTTTTTTTATCTTTGGGAGGGTGCTTGTGATCAGCACAGGGCCAATTAGCACTGTCCGGACAGAGGGTCAGGGGTTATAAAGCCTCATAGGACAGTCAGAGGAGAATAAAAACTCCCCCTAAAAGCGTTAACCAGTGCTCAGCTGGACACTGATAGAAGTCACAAGACTGCTTTATACTGCTGATGGAAAAACTTATTTAGCAGTTTATATTTACTAAAATAATTGCATTTCCATGCAAATACTGTGGGAGACCAGATATAGTGAGTGCAGGTCCATGAATTTATCAACACTTTAATCTTAAAATGTAATTTCCATTCCAGGTATGAATTTGATTGGCTGCAATGTAAATATACAGGCAACTTTTACTGCATTACTTTAATGAATGAGGCCTGTAATGATCTCAATAATATGCCATTCATGCACACATGTTTCATATGTGTCATAAAACATTCTGACATCCACTTCATTCTGACTTACAGGTAGAAACAAGTGGATTTGAAGACCTGAAGATCATATACTGTAAGTCATGTGCAGAAGCTTTGCATCTTTCTAATACGTATACTTACCAGCTGACCGATGTGTGGAGCCTTCCTATTGTTTCAATAATAAAAATGGCAGACATAGTGAACAATGAGGAGGATGGAGAGATAGTAGTGGATGGACTTAAATTTGACTTGTACAAGAAGAAAAGTAAAAATGTGCATATAACTTTCACTTATGAGATTTCCATATCTTCTGATTGTTTTAATGTGATGTTTTCACTGAAGGTAATCTCTGCTTTGTTTGAATATTATATACTTTATTTGATTTTATTAATATTATGCTTTGTTTGAATATTATTTAAAAGTAGCATTTAAATAAAGTACTTTTTATAGTAGGTATTTCCATTTGTATTTCAAAAAACACTAAAAAAACTACATATTTTAATAATATAATTAGAGATGAGCGAATTATTCAAAAATTCGATTCGGCTGATTCGCCGAATTTGCGGAAGAAATTCGATTCGATGCGAATTTATTCGCTGCAAATTTAACTTATAAAAAGGGTGTTTCTAGGCTTCAGAGAGCCTTTATATTAGTGCAGAACACTGTACCTTTAATTTAAATGCCCTTGGAGTCTGCTGGGGAAGAGAAATAATACTGTCAGTCAGTATGACATGCAGATGAGTGCCATCGATCTTAGAATCACCGCACACTTCACTCATTTGGGCAGTCACGGGGCCAAAACCAGAGTGTGGAGCCACAGTGTGGCGGTGGAGGCAGCAGCAATGGGAGGCCATACAGCACCCTATGACAAAATGGAACCCACCAGCAGTGTGAGGAGACCTGAAAGTGGCACATGGCAGAGTGTGGCGATAGAGACAGCAGCAATGGGAGGCCGTACAGGGACCCATGACACACTCTGGACCTGGCAGCAGCATGAGGAGGCGGTACAGGGGCCCATGACAGATTACGGGCCTGGCAGCAGCATGAGGAGTCGGTACGGGGGCCCATGGCAGATTACGGGCCTGGCAGCAGCATGAGGAGGCGGTACAGGGGCCCATGGCAGAGAGTGGCGGAGCGTAAGCAGCTTAAAATTGAAGGCCATACAGAGGCCTATGTTAAAAAGTCCCCCCCCAGCAGCAGTGTGGGGAGACGACTATCAAGAGTCCAATGGCAGAGTGGCGGAGCAGAAGCAGCTTCAATTGAAGAAGAAGAGGATGAGGATGAAGAAGAAGAAGAGGATGAGGATGAAGAAGAAGAAGATGAGGATGAAGAAGAAGAAGATGAGGATGAAGAAGAAGAAGAAGAGGATGAGGATGAAGAAGAAGAAGAAGAAGAAGAGGATGAGGATGAGGAAGAAGAAGAAGAGGATGAGGATGAAGAAGAAGAAGAAGAAAAAGAGGATGAGGATGAAGAAGAAGAAGATGAGGATGAAGAAGAAGAAGAAGAAGAAGAGGATGAGGATGAGGATGATGAAGAAGAGGATGAGGAAGATGAAGAAGAAGAGGATGAGGAAGAAGAAGAAGAAGAGGATGAGGATGAGGATGATGAAGAAGAAGAAGAAGAAGAGGATGAGGAAGAAGAAGAAGAAGGATGAGGATGAAGAAGAAGAAGAGGATGAAGAAGAAGAAGAAGAGGATGAGAATGAAGAAGAAGAAGAAGATGAGGAAGTAGAAGAAGAAGAAGAAGAAGAAGAAGAAGAGAAGAAGAGGATGAGGATGAAGAAGAAGAAGAAGGAGAGAAGAGAGAAGAAGAAGAAGAAGAAGAGGATGAGGATGAGGAAGAAGAAGAAGAAGATGATGATGAAGAAGTAGAAGAAGA